CATGCTGTTTTTTTTCTCGTGCAGTTTAGCAGCTCTCACAGCAAGGCAGTCTCGTGATCTTGTTCTTGCAATCCAAGGCAATGCAGCTCTGCTCTGTCAGAGCTGCTCTTGCACATGGGCAGCTGTGGGAGAGGGTCGAGGTCGCAGAGCCTGTCAGTGCACTTAACCTTAACAAAATGTAATCAAGGTCAACTTTCTTTAGGCTTTTGAGAAATTCACCAAAAGCTTGTACAGGTCTCCCAGCACTTCTATTTCTAAGGCTCTTCCATGAGGAGCAGGGCTCCTCCCTGCAGACTGCCTGGCAGTTTATACTTTGATGAAAAACAGCTTTTGGCTATGAAACCGCAAGACGTGGTGGCAGCTTTCTCTAGCCCTTGGCCTGCCAAAAGAAAAGGTATCTTGTGGTACGAAGAGAAATGCAGCTAAAATTGCATATCTAAAATTGGTTGTGTCTTCATCCTCTGCTAGGGGACAGCTGTACTCTTACTTGCCTACGGCAGCCAATGTCATTTCAGAAGTAAACTATGATTATGGCAGAGGCCTAACTTTGTGTGAGATGTTTGTGGACATTCCTCTGGGTGTTATGTTTTCTCATCCCTTTGATTACTGGTCTTTTGACTACATAGTAGAGGATAATGCTCAGAAAATACACCTGGTGCCCATTCCAGCTCTAGAGAAGGAAAAGGCTTCTCAAAACGGGAATATAAAATCCTTAGAGACGCCATTACTAGAAATGGAAAGGAGGGATATTCACCTAAAAGACAGATTTCAATGAATGTGAATGTTGTGCTTTGTCTTGCAAGCCCCCCAGCGTGTGCTGTGGTAAAAGAAAAAGAATCCTGCTTCTTCCCGCGGCGGAGCAACACCAGTCTGTCAAGTCTCCTACAGCCTCCTGGGATCATCAGCCTTGTTCAGGAAGTGCTGAACGATACAACCAAGTGCTTTATTTATAGGAGACTCGGGTTACTTTTTATTCCAGTACATCATTGATGCAAGGTACTTCAGAAGATGCAGCTTGATTTGCTATAAAGTTATTCATACAGAACAGAAATTCCTGGAAAATGATTATTTGACTCGTTGCACAAAACGTGGGCTGTTCTGGCCCCAGAGGCATTTGAAAAGGAGGGTCTGCAGTGATGTTCCAACTGTAGGAGTAGAAAATACTCTACTGAAACCCTACTCTAGAAAATACTCTACTAAAAATACTCTGCTGAAACTACCTCTGAGGAATATGGAAGGTCTAACTAGCTGTATTGTATGATCTGAGCTGGGGTTTTGTGGTAAAACCCATGGTCACAGCACTGAGAGGGGTGGGAGCTCTGAAACCTTACTTGTTTTTGACAGCAGCTGGTCTAAGCATCAGGCTTGAATTACACGCTGCTGTTGAAACAACAGCTCAGAGGGCCAGCTAAATTTGCCAACAACTGTTTTTTGCTTTCCCTTTTACAGCTATGACTTTTTCAAAGTTCTTTTGCTTTTAAAAAAATTATTTGGTATAAAAAGAGCTGTTGATCTCCTCACCTTTATAACCTTCCATCTGGTGCACTGTTCTCTGATCCTGACTAATACCTTCATCTCTGGTAAAAAGCAATATTGGTAAACATCTGAGGATAAAATAATTTTCAAACGCTCCTTTGGTTATACACACCCCTAGGTGACCTCTTTGCTGATTGTGAGGTCCTTTTCTAAACCATCTCCAAAAACAGCCTTCCAGAGCCTCAGTGAGCTGGAGTTCATTGCCCCAGGGCTGGTACGTACAACTCTTTGAAAGGCACAGCTGGAGTAAGTGAGGTAACTATATCTACGCACCTAGGCATATTGTGGGCTGTAAAATATCATCCTATTCTAGAGTTTAAATTTCTGCTGAAGATTGTTTTAGCAGTGCAGGTTGGTTTAGCTTGATGCGATAAAGACATATTTAAAACCTTTTCCTCCTTGCTGCATATCCTTTGAGGCATTTTTTCCTTTAGTAAAAAAAGGTTTTAAATGTCTTTGAAACTTCACCTCCTGTTCTGTCTTTTAAACCAAGGCTGGGCATAATTAAATGCATAATTACATTTGTCACTGTTAATATGTACTTAAAACCAGAGCTCTCAGTGGAGAACAGTTGTATATCCAACGCTGCGCTGCCCCTTGGAAAGAAACAGCTCATTTTCTTTTAAAATGTCTGTATGCAGGTGGGGAGAGCACAGCGACTCAGCTCAGAGCAGGACAACTATTTGTCCTAATGAGGCTTGGCTCTGCTCCTTGGGCTCTTGAAACCAAGAGTTACCCCTCTAAAACTTCCCACTGCATCAGGTCTGTTATGTGTATATATATTTTAACATCCAGACCTGCAAAGACCAAGCCATTGACAGTTTTACACACATAAAGCGGCTGTAACGTATCTGTTAGCAATGTACAAACCCACAGTATTTTCCATTGAGTGGGTCCCCTGTTCAGCATTTATTTCCCTCTGTACTACTCTGTGTGTTTCAGATTTAAATTCCCTTCAATAAAAATTACCGCTTCAAATGGAGGATCTTGAGTTCTCCCTGCCAGAACAAAGTATTGGTCGGTTATTTTTAATAGTCCAAGCCTACTTCATGATTTTTAAGCTCTGATATTTGCATGGTTTCAAAGCAACACCTCCTGGCAAGCCATGGTATTGCTTGTGCAAGCAGAGAGACCTTCCTTTATGACAAAACAGCGAGACAGGGGAGTGATCTGCAGGGATAGTCCCTCGTTGCTTCGTGTGCAAATTGCAGGGTGATGGGCATGGCTGTCACGACATCCACTGGGGGAGAAATAAAAGTGGGGAGCGTGTTTCAGAATTTTTTTTTAAATGAGAGCAAACATAAGTGCTTAGTGCTGCCATACAGGTATCACTGCCTTCTTTTTTTGTTGTTTATTTACTTATATGTGCTGATTTACAGTGGACAATATTGCCAAAAGCAATGCAGGACTTTTTATCCAAAAAACTGTGAAGCCAGAGAACAAAGGATGCTTGCTATCATCCCCATACGGTAATTTGGACATCAGTGTTCTTCTTTGCCCTCTTAATTTACTCCCTTCTTTATCCCAGCGTAAAACTGACTGGCAGAAAATAGAAGTGTGAGTGGAAATTCAGAATGGTTCCAGAAAGCTTCATTAATGTTCCAGGTATGACATTCCCTTAGCACTAAAGCAATGCAGCTGTCCTTATGAGCACATGAAAATACTATGAAAGACATGGAAACGTCACAGAAACCCACTAAAGAACAAGGTTACAGCCCCCTTATTTGCAGCATCTACACGTGGTTTAAGGTACTATTGTGCTGTATTAGCATTACCGTGAAACAATCCAATGCACTGGAATAACTTGAGGAATCGGACATGAAGAATGCCAGGCAATTTATACAGAAGACTGAGATATGACGTAAATGTTCATATAATGAATAAAAGCAGCACAAGTCATTGCAGAGGACCATTTCTTGAAGGAGACAGTAAATTGTCAATAACAATAACAAGATGTATGTATTCTACTCTCCATTCCAGATTGCTGGTTGATTTGCTGATGTACCCCTAATTAAACTCTTTTCTGTCCAGTAGTAAAGTATGATGTTAAAAGCACCTGTCAAAGTTTGGCATCTTAATATCTACTTTGGCCATCCTAATATTTTGAGAGAACTAGCTGAGAAATTATCTGTGTATTGGGGCTGGTATCACTAAGTCTTTGAAAACAGGAGAAACCTCAGGTTGCTGTTACTTAATATTTTGATTGAAAGCTGTACCTTGGCTAGATGATTTGACGGGCAGGGGATTTTTATTCATATCTGCTATTGCAAGATGCAGGCTGCTGCCTGAAATATTAATGCAAGCTGCAAATCCAGGAATCAAGAGGTGCTTTTGCCAGGTTTGAGTTGAAACACCTGGCCTTAGGATGGATTCCTGTCTGTTTGGGGATGGCAGAGGAGCTGAAGCATGGGGGTGTGCAGAGCATTGCTTGGGTGCTCATCTATTACCGCTTTGTGGCACCTGGGTTTTTAGCATGGAGGTTGGAAGCTGTTGGGGTGGGAAAAGGGCATCAGACAGGGCAGCTCTTCCTTACGGAGCTGCTCTTGATTTGCAGCTCTCCCTCCTTCTCCCCAGGTCGGCAGGCAGGGATGCATTGCCAAAAACCCATGGGTGACAGTGGCAGGACAGGGTGAATGTCCTTGCAAGAAGAGGAGTCACTGGAAAACATAACGGTGTGACTGCAAAACCTCCTGCATCTATGGGATGTGGTTTAGTGATGGACTCAGCAGTGCTAGGTTAATGGTTGGACTGATGATCTTAAAGGTCTTTTCCAACCTAAACGACTCTATGACTCCAAGAAAACCATTTCGTGGTTCACCTGCCCTAACTGCGCTCAGCCACAGGCCTGGCGCGCTGCTACCCCTGACAGCCCACGCGGGTAAATCCAACCGGTTGCTCTGGAGGCCGAGACCGGCCTGGCCGGGGCCTGTCCCTCACCTCAGCGGCCCGGATTCTCAGCAGCCCGCCCGGCCAGCCGGGGTTCCCACGCACGCTCCGCTCGGCCCAGGTCTTCCCTGGCCCTCGGGAGGGCAGCCCCCCGGGCGAGGAGCCCC